AGAGAGAGAGAGAGAGAGAGAGAGAGAGAGAGAGGAGACATCAACGATATTTAACGTTGAGAATCATTGATCAGTTTCCTCCTGCGTGCCCCCTACCAGGGATCAAGTCTGCAGCTTTGGCATGTGCCCTGACTGGGAATTAAACCATGACCTCCTGGTTCACAGGTCAATGCTCAACCACTGAGCCACACCAGCTGGGCTCATGTTTGTTTGTTTTTATACATGAGGAAACTGAGGCCCAGAGAGGTTAAGCAACTTGCTTGAGGTCACACAGCTAGAAAATGGCAGGGGGAGATTTGAACCCAAGAGGTCTGGCTGCAGAGTCCGTCCGCGACCCCAGCCGTTGCTGCCTCTCTGTCACTGTGGCTGCTGTTGCAGGTGGAGCCCATGGAGCACACCAAGAAGCTGCTGTACCAGTATGAGGCCATGATGCAGCTGAAGGAGCAGGAGAAGCTGTCCAGACATCAGGCCTGGGAGTCGGAGCTGGAGGTAGGGTCCTCCGGGAGAGTGGGCAGGTGGGAGGCGGCAGGGGTAGCGGGGTGCCTTAACCATGCCCTCCCCCACTTGCCAACTCAGGTGCTGGAGATCCTGAAGCTTCTAGAGGAAGAGGAGGAGGCGCACACGCTGAAAATCTCCATCTACGACACGAAGCGCAATGAGAAGAGCCGGGAGTACCGGGAGGCCATGGTGAGCCTCGTTTCCCTGCCCGGCCCTGACTTGTTCTGGGCCTCCCGGTGATGATGACTAGGGATTCTGCTGGGAAGCCCTCTCTAGGGGGCAAAGTCATTGACCTCATTGTGGTCATTCTTGCTGCTGAGCCGGCCATTTCTGTGTTTCACCCCAAAGAGCACTCAGGACCCAGGCCAGGTCTCCCCCACCTCCAGGGGCCGAGGCCAACCCAGGGCCTCTTCTGCAGGCGGGAGGAATGAGGAGTGTGTGCCCACCTCCGCCTGGGGCTCCCCTCGAGCTCCAGACCTGGCCATGGGCCTGAGTTCTCCGTCCCCTGGCCCACAGGGCGTTCAGGTTACCCCCTCAGGTTGCACGGCCCAGCCTGGGTTCGAGGCCAGTTTCTACATCTCTTTCACCAACCAAGGAGACATTTCTAAACACAGTTGGAGGTTGGAGAAGCAGGACAGGGCACCAGATGGCCAGTTCTCAGACTCCCAGGGTTGGGCACCGGCCCCCACATCTCCAGCCCTTGTCTACCAACACGAGACAGAAGGCTCCGGGGTGAAAGGGGAAGAGGGAGAGCGTTACTGGTCGTTTTTGATTCAACATCATGAATAACAACCATTTCTCACCATTTACTGAGCGAGCATCGACTGAGCGTTAGGACGATAGATTCAAGGACGATAGAGAGTTGGCTGCTACTAATCACCGTAGGGACAAGAGGCAGCACCCAGGCCGCTCCGATCCGAGGTCTCGTCCCAGAGGCACCAAGCACCGGGCTCTGGGTGTGAGGACTGGCTCTGTGTGGTCACATGTTGATGCAGAGCTGGCTGGGGGTTCTCTGCAGCCCCTGCTGGTCCGGCTGACTCCCCACCCCACCCCACCCCCGCCCCAGGAGCGCGTGATGCACGAGGAGCACCTGCGGCAGGTGGAGGCCCAGCTGGACTACCTGGCCCCGTTCCTGGCACAGCTGCCGCCGGGAGAGAAGCTGACGCGCTGGCAGGCCATTCGCCTCAAGGACGAGTGCCTCATGGACTTCAAGCAGCGGCTCATCGACAAGGCCAACCTTATCCAGGCCCGTTTCGAGCAGGTACGGCCGGGGCCCGGGTAGAGGAGAGGACCTTGGCATCCTCATCTTAAAAACGGGCACAGGGCTCTTTGCCCCCCATGTTACAGACGTGGGAGGGACCCATTGCTGGGAGTTTCCAGATGACCGACTTGTCCTCCCTCACTCTTGTTCATTGGGTGGAAGGGTGGATGAAGGGATGGATGGATGGATGGACGGACGAACGGACGGACGGACGGACGGACGGACGGACGGGTGATAGTGGGTGAATGGATGGGTAGTGGATGAACAGGAGGATGGATGCATGGGTAGATGGAGGGCTGCGTAAATGAATGAATGGATGGGTGGTTGGATGGATGGATGGATGGATGGATGGATGGAAGGATGGTGCATTGTAACAACTTCTAGTCCTTGATGCGTTTCTATCGGTTGGAAGTATACCGTGCAGTTCCTACGCATTATCTCATTTAATCTTCACAAGGAGCTCTGTGTGGTGGTGATGAGTGTGTACAATGGCCCTCGTTTGACAGAAAATTGGAAGCTCTGAGAAGGTAGCTTTTCCAGAGCCACACGGCTGTCTCAGTCTTGAACCCTGCTCTGACCCCATGGACTTGATATCCTTCTAAACACAACCCCAGGGGCCCCCACTCAAGGCATTTTCTGGCCTTGCCTCTGCTCCGCTGACGTCTGTGGATGGTTATTGCGGAGTCAACCCTCCTGGGTTCTCTGGTGACCAGGGGGTCTCAGCCTAAGCCCTGGGTGCGGGTCAGCCTGCATCACCCCTCCTGCGCTCTCCTCTCCGTGCCTGTGCCCGCAGGAGACGCAGGAGCTGCAGAAGAAACAGCAGTGGTACCAGGAGAACCAGGTGACCTTGACCACCGAGGACGAAGACTTGTACCTGAGTTACTGCTCTCAGGCCATGTTCCGCATCCGTATCTTGGAACAGCGGCTCAACCGGTGAGGGGGGCAGGGGAGCCCAAGGGGACTTACTAGGAAGCCGGAGCGCCAGCTCTGTAACCCCACCACCACCTCTCGCTCCTCCCTCCGATCTCAGACACAAGGAGCTGGCCCCGCTGAAGTACTTGGCTCTGGAGGAAAAGCTCTACAAGGACCCACGCCTGGTGGAGCACCTGAAAGTCTTTTCTTGATGCCTCTCCTGCACCTCTGGCCCTTAGATGCCCCTCCTGGGGCCTCAGCCTCACCTGGCAGAGAGAGAAACCTCCCCCACAGCCCAGCCCGTGTTTCCTGCAACCAGCTAACGACCTCGGAATCAGGTGCCTGGCCTCACTGCCGCTCCACCTCCCTGCGGCCCCATCTGTCCCTGCTTCTCATGATTTTTCTGTGAATAAACACACTTGAGATTTGCAATTTATACCTCATTTCACAAGCTCCAGCACCAGCCTTTCTCTCCTTCCCTTCTTTATCTATATGGAGTCCGGGACCAACTTCCTCTACCCACCTTGTCCACCTTCCTCCTTGACCTCCTGTCCTGTCCATTGGGAATGCTGAGCCTTTGCAATACCTCCGCAGGTGGTCTCAAGAATTATGTAGCCTAAAATGTCAATAATACTGAGGCTGAGACACCCCGCTTGGGCTCAGTGGAAACGAACAAATTACAACCACGTGAATGATATGGTTGCATTTCTCAGGGGGACTTCTGAGGAGCTGGCAATAGTCTTCTTGACCTGAGTATGTTCAGATGGTGAAAATTCACCGACCTTGTACCCTTACAGTATATGGGGTATGTGTATTATACTTCATCATAAAGTGTTTCAAAACGGTGATCATGAATCTAATCATGCTTTGACTTCCATTTAACAAGAAATTCAGAGGAAAAGGAACAAGGTAAATGACACTAGAAGGGAAAAGTCCGGCAAAATTATAATGTGGGACAGTCTACAAGGTCAACGGTCCAATCTCTTCAAAAGATCAAAGTCATTAAGTAAGGGGGCGGGGGGAGGGAGAGATGAAATCGAATGAGCTTAGAAGAGTCAAGTGCCAAATCTTGATGCTTTCCTAATTAGGAAAAATGTTATTAAAAATAATTTTGGGGATGATTATGAAAATCTGCCCTGGAAAACAACTTTGTTTTCTTGATACAATGATTATGCAGGAGAAGGGTCTGATTTTTAAGAATTACACGGTCAGTAGCATTCAGTGTCAGGGTGAAATGTCTTGATGTCCACAACTTGCAAATGATTCAGAAAACACACACACGGATAAAGCCAATCAATACAGCAAAATGTTAGCAAGTGATGAAATCCACACGGTACGTATATGGTCATCATATGATTGAAATATTACACTAATATATCATTATAGTATTCTTTCCAGTGTTCTCCACGACGTTTTCATATAAAAGGTTGAGAAATGCAGGGTGGGCAGTGCTGATCGGGTTTTATTCTGCTAATCTGGTCCTCTCTCGACAGTACCCATAAGCCTCTGCAGTCAGCGTCCCCAAGTACAGTGTGATGGGTGGACGCTGCCTCTTCCTGGCAGCGAGGGTGCAGGGCAGTGGAGATTAAGGCCACCCCCACCCACGGATCACAAATGAGGTCGGCGTTTCTCGGGCTCCCAGTCTGTCAGCGCTTTAAGGAAGCGGCCATCCATCCGCCGAAGACGTCGGCCGTGGAGGCAGCAATCCCGGGCTCCACGCCTGACTCGGACCCAGAATCAGGAAATCTCAGTTTCTCTCCCGGTCTCCGGTGGGAGATTCGAGCCAAAGAAGAGAGAAAAGTCCTCAGACCCCGCGGATCCGCCTACAGGTAAAGGGAACGAGCAGGAACCCCTGCAAAATGCTGACTTAAGTACACCGCCCCGCTTTGCCCGACTCCAAAATGGAAGCTCCGCGGCTTCGCTCGGGTCCGGATGTCCCCTTCCCATTGGCTATCTGGGAGTTGGTTTTCCAATAATGCAAACGCTGATTGGTCGAGCTGGGACGGTTGCTAAAGCGATTGGTGCAGCCGCCATTGGAGGGCGTCTCGCAAATTTTTCAAACGCTAACGAGGTTCGAGGGCGAGTAGGCAAGGTGGCTGAAAGGGAAAGTTTGAGGCGAAGGCGGGACCAAGGGAACGGCAGCCCGCATTGGTTCATTAGGGGCCGAGGGGTGGCTCTTGAACCCTTCTTCCTCTTGATTAGCCCAATTCAGGAAAAAAGGGCGGGAACTTAGGAAAAGCGGCAGAAGTGCCTTCTTCGATTGGTCAAAACTGGAAAGAGGCGGAGCTCCCGCGACAGCTGATTGGTGGGAGACTTGGGGAGGGCGGGGCTCTGAGCCGGAGGTTTTGTTGTGAGGGTCGGTTGTCAAGCAGCGGCCAATCAGGGCAGGGGATGGAGGCAAGTGGGGGTCGCCCCTGGAGCAGAGCCTTGGCCTTGGGAGCCGCCACTGCAGGTGGAGTGGGCCGGGGGGCGAGGAGGCGA